TTTTTTTTCTATAATTGCTGATGAGACTACAGACATATCATCTCAATTTCAAATGTCTATAGTATTTAGATATATTTTATCTGACGGTACACCGGTTGAAAGATTTTGGGGATTTTTCATTCCCTCGGGACATGATGCCAAGTCATTATCTGATTGTATAAAAGATAATTTAAAAGAAGTATCAGAAAATACTGATAAATTGGTTTCACAAAGTTACGATGGAGCCGCCGTTATGAGTGGCCGATTCTCCGGCGTGCAAAAACTTATACGAGATGAATATAAATATGCTCACTTTGTTCACTATCATGCACATCAATTGAATTTGATTTTTAGTAAAGCCACTACACAAAACCATGATGTTAGAATTTTTTTTTCTAATTTGACAGACATCACAAACTTTTTTTCAAATTCCCTTCAAAGAGTGGATATTTTAGATAAAATCGTTAACCATAGAATTCCACGATCTTCAAATACTAGGTGGAATTTTAAAAGTCGTATAATTAACACTGTTTATGAAAATCGTAAATCAATTATAGAATGTTTCGAAGAGATTGAAAATACTTTCAACCAAAACATTGCAATTAATCAAGCAGGAGCTTTTCGTCGATTGCTAAATGATAATACATTTATATTTTGGTTGAATGTATTTCATCGTTTAATGCCACACGTTGACATTCTATACAACGAATTACAAAAACGAACCGTTGATCCGATTCAAGTTAATGACTTAATAAATAAATTTAAAGAAAATATTCAAAATGAAAGAAATAATTTTTCAAATGAAGTGTCTGAAGACGTTTTATCGTCTAAAAGAAAAAAATCAAACGACACAAATGTTTCAAGGCATGCAGCTTCAAAGGAAATATGCGATGTTTTTATTAGTAGTGTTCAGGACCGGTTTGAGTACAAAGATCATTTATTTGCTTCTTATTTATTTATATCCCCGAATTTTCCTTCATATGAAAAACAATTTCTACAACAATAATTCAACAAAACAATTGAATCTTATCCTGTATTTAATAATAATAAACTTGAAATTGAATTAAAATTAATATATAAGCGAACCGATTTTCGTGACGTATCGGGGGCAGTAAATTTATTAAAATTTATTATTGACAACAATTTACAATCAGTATTTTCAGAATCGTACAAACTTATATTAATAATTGCAACAATTCCGATGACATCGGTAGAAGCAGAAAGGTCATTCTCAACTCTTAAAAGAATCAAAACATTTCTTAGAAATACAATGGTAGAAGAAAGACTAAATGCTTTAGCTATGTTGTCTATTGAAAAAAGCATGATTAATGAAATGTCTAATTTTAACGAAGAAGTTATTAAAGTGTTTATACAAAAAAAAGATAGACGTATAGATTTAATTTTTAAAAATGTAACTGATTAATTTTATATAATAAGAATTGTAATTCGTAGTGATTGTATTACTCTAATAATAAATTATAATTACTAAGATATTGTGTATATATTCATACATAATAAATTAATAATAACTATAGTTAATTCAAAATGAGATGATGACTCGGCGGCAAAGTTGTGCGCATGGGCGTGGCTTTTGTTCCGTGGTAGCGCTTTACGCGCTGCCGCGGACGGGAACTCTAATTAGTCTAGTTATCGACTGTCGATGTGTGTAGTTAATTTAAAATGCATTGCGCGTATTTTTTGTTTTCTGTCCGTTGCCGTCACCAAACGGTTTACTTACGCACATTTACCTTAAGGTACGGTTTCCAAGCTGCGGCTGGCCGCAACGGCACACGTAGTCTGACTGTGCTATTTAAAATTGCGGAGTGTGGTTTCCAACGTGCGATCGACGATTGCGTGATTTAAATAGTCGTTGCGGCTCGCGGCTATAGTGGTCTGGTAGCAGTACATTGCGTGAGTCGTGGTGCGTGTCATATAGTGTTTTATTGTATTTTTTGCATTTTAATTAAAAACTATGTCAAAATCTACATTTTCGTCGAACAATGATGAAGTTTTGGTGGAAGAAGTTGAGAAGCAATCCGTATTATATGATTGCTCCCACGAATTCTTAAAGATATTATATTATATTATCAATAACTCTTCCATCACTATACTTTGTTAACAAACTAACAATTAACAACAAAACTAGTATAATAAATAAATTATTTACCAAAAAACACGTCTGTACTCTACACAATATTAGGGTAAAATAAACTCCGGCCGCAACGTCTAGTCGTATTTAGGAAAACAGTCGGCACGCAACGTTTAGTCGTTACGGCTGATCATTGCGGCCAGCCGCAGCTTGGAAACCGTACCTTAAGACATAATACATATTATTCCGTAATCATGCCATCGCGCGTCGTAGCTACAGACCGTGCATGCCGCATGGTCGAATATCGAGTTAAAAATAGTTTATTAGTTGATTATTATTTTTATTTATAGAGAAGTGTACCTACAAGACAATTATTTAAAGTTTTGTATATAAAATTATTTTACTATGTAATATGCATTACAAATTTACAAATTACAATATTACACACATGTGTGACAATGAAAATACTTTTAATAAATCCAAATAATGGTAACATATCGTTGTTTTCATCACATACTTTTATAATAACGGACATATTCTTGGAGTTATATAAAAGCCCATTCATTTTTACCTATGAAACAAAAAATGTAACGTCGCGGTTATTTAAATCATAAGGACCTGAATACTCATTATATAAGTCAATGTCCAATTGACTTAATTTAATTGCAGGTCCTATTTCTATTGGAATTGTATAGTAATCAATTTTGGGGGATAATAATCTGTATGACAGTCTTAATTGTTGTTTTAGAGACAATGTTTTTACAATATTTTTTCTAGAAGTTGTCGAATTAGCAGTTGTTTTTAGTTCTTTATGTTTACCTTCAAAATGCATTGACCAATGTAATGGTAATGGTCCAGATTTTCATAGTATTAGTGGATAATGGACCATATGGTGGTGCTTTGGCTTTAAATTTTTATTACGAAATATTTTTAGGTACGTTTCATGGTGTTCTGTAATTAAATTTTCAGGTATAAATGAATCTTCAAATGTAATACACTTCGATAATATTATATTTAAAATCTTATCGGCAATAATGTATACCGTCCAAATTTCAGAATTTCTAGGAACCAAATCACCTATCATTAGTCCTAAATTTTTAACAAAACAAAGCATTTCACTTGCTGACATTTTTAGTATTGCTTTAACTTTCAAAGTTTCACTAAAAACCAAAGTTGGTCTATTTCGAATATCAATTGGCCCATAGTCAAATAATTCGATTCTATTATATAATATATTTAATGAAAAGTATTTCAAATCAAAAATCATTCTTTTTAACATCAAACCAGTGTCGTAGTTGCATACACCTTCTAACATATCATGCATAACATCAACACTATAGTTATCTGTAACAGGAAATGAATCAATTTTATTCCACACACAAGGTTCTTTTATTCCAGTTAATGATACATCATTTTTAATGAGATCGTCAGTATAATTTGTTATATTTCTAAGATTTATATCTACTTGTAATATTTGTGTATGACATACGATTTTTTCAGTCTTACAAAATCTACAAGGATAGTTAGCAACAAAACTTTTCGTGAATCCTAATATTGAATGTAACCCTAAGTTATCTCCAATAATTAAACCTAAGGAAAAGTAAATGTGGTGAACTTTATTATTTGAAGTAATAAAAATACCATGTGTTTCTAAATAAATTAATTCGGAAATTATATCCTTAAAAATAACATTATTTCCAAAATAATTTTTGATTTCCAAAATAATTTTTGTCGCTGGTTTTAAAGTGATACTAAAAATATATTGTCTAATGATGAAGATAACTCAGGAGGCAAACAAGCTAATGACATGTATATTGCGCCTAACTTTTGTGAACCAGCATGGAAACCTAGTGGGTTATTAACTTCGAAATCATCATAGTATAAAAATAAAGGGAAAGTTGTTTTATTTGGAAATTTATTTTGACATTTCAATTTCCATTGTTTGGATTGCATAAAGTTGTACATAAATTTACTGGTAAACATATTTTCTGTGTATTTTAATATTACATCTAATAAATTTGAGTGTTCTAGAACTTTTTTTAAAATATCTCTAAGCGGCGTTAAACATAATTTAATTTCCTCATGATTTACTGCAACTACCATTAACTAATTTATCTCCTAACCGGTGCCCAATAACTATTTCCTTTGGTTGAAATAATACTCCTAGATCATGGAGTATTTTAAATCTCATATATTCAGTTTTCATGCTAACAAATGGATCTGACAAAATTTTTATTTCGCTAAGAACTACTAATAATTCATCTTTCACATTAAAATCCTCACATTTACAAATACATTTATTAATTTTAGTACTAAAAACTGAAACAATTGAATCGAAAAAATCTTGGATATCATTAATTAGAATATCAATTTTATTTCGGGGAATAACTGTGTCACTATACCATTTACAAATCATACTTAAAGCTAATGATTGTAAATTTTTTAAATCATCATATTTAGGAAAATTATGATTTTGTTTATTATCATATATAGTACATAAACTTAATTTGTATCATTATCAGAAGACGGTACACAGTTTGTTATTTGTTCAAATAGATTATTATTTACAGATTGAAAATTTTTATTAGGTATGTCTTTTGTGGATTTAGAATTGAAGTCATGTTGTTTAAGGTGTCTTTTATAGGTATCAATATTATTAAAAATACGTAAACAGTTCTGATATTGACAATTAAATGTTTCTATTGTTTTTAAATCATGATATATATTAAAATGACTAAACAAATGATTTAGGCATTCGGCCTCATAGGAACATAAAAAACAGTTAACCATCATAACAATAAGATATTAAAAATAATTATTATAAATTATCAAATTTGGTATATAATATAGATGATAAAATTTAAAAATATTTACATAATAAAGGAAGATTGTAGATAGGCACCTAAGGGCACAAGAACTTAAATATTACTTATAATAATAATTACTAATAGTATTACAAATTATTTAAACTATTTATTTATACAAGATTGCTATTAGCAAAAGTACCTACCTATATTTAATTGAAATTGGAAACTGCTATTGCAAATCTTTAATTAAAGTTTGAACAGCCACAATTTTTTTTTTTTTTTATGAACATTTGCTATTTCAAAAAAATAATCCTAAATAAACCATCAAACCTGCTCAGCTTCTGGAGGATAGTTTAAATTTAATGCATGGAATGATTTAAAACAAATATTTAAGGCCTTAATTGGTGTTTCGAGTTTGTAATAAATATTGTCAATTACAGTATAGTAGTTCAATACACTACTAGCATCTTCAATATTCCCCACGATGGCGATATATAGTTGAACAGTTAAATTATTAATAAATGCTCTATTCACTTTTTGTTCATGGGTTGTCTTGATGTCATTACTATTCTGTGAAATAAGCAATTTTAAATTAATACCGTATTTAGTACTTTAATAATATAGTTACACCATAAAGTGTTAATAAAATAGACCTAATATAGTGATGGGAACATCAGAGAAATTTTTGATAAATAAAAGATTAAGAATATCAAGATGTTGTTACAATCGAGTGATTCACTCGAAAAATTACCTCTCTGTTAATTTATTTCAATACCGAGATAATCACTCAATTGTTTCAAAACAATCGAGATAATTGATTAAATCAAACAATGGAGTATTTTGAGTGTTCTCACTTGATTATTCCCGTCACTAAACCGAATTAGATATTTGAATTTTAGAATTTATTAATGATAAGAAAGCACATTGTAGAGACCTCGTGTTAGTGGGTAACACGACCACCTCCAACAGCGGAAAGGAATATCGGTGTACTACCGCAAGGAGAGAAACAACGATATTAATTTTATAAAAAAGGCGTTTATTATGTGTGAATGCAAAAACAACCAGAAAAACATATATACAGAAAACTGCGAGTGCGGATGATGACAGTAGTCACGAGGTTGCGAAAGAACGTAGGTCGAAGTCGTTCGGGGCACATGTATACGGGTCGCGATACGAACGGAGAAAAACAGATGATAGCCGCCCTGTCGTGGCGGTTGTTCGCGTCGTCGACAACCATGGTGATCAACCGCCTAACAACAATGTTACCATCTCCGAGCGGGAATTATGTGGTGATGGTTCACCACACACATCATAGATATCATTTAGATAAGGTATCTATTCTGTGGTATTGATATCATTTAATAAAATTGACGCGGCACACTGGTGACGGTGTTGTACGCACGGTCACAGGTGCGGAGAATACGATTCAAGATTATAATATCAATTATAAAAATAACAATCCCCGATTCGTGATCGCACAATATATCTGTATATATAAAAATTTCGTGTCACGATGTATGTTCGCGATAATCTCCGAAACTACTGGACCGATTTTGATGAAATTTTTTACACCGTGTGTAATTTGGTCCAACTTAAAATATAGGATAGTTTTTTTTCAAATTTTTTAATATTTTAAATATTTTAATTAACTTTTTAATAAATGTGTATAATTGCATGGTGTATTTCGGGTTTTCCCGTGACCGACCGCAAGTATCTATATAGCTACCTGTAATCTGACCTTTTTTCTATTGTGTGTTTTATCGTCGTCGGCGTGTAGATATGAATTGTTCCGAGAATTATATAACTAACCTAACCTATGGTTTTTATCTCAATATTATTTTTTGCATTGCAATTGTTGTAATGAAGAAAGTTATAGAATTTTCGAGAAATGTTCAAAGGTATAAAATGCGAAGTTCGGTACGACGTAAATTCAGAAAATATATATGTTGGTTTGTACTTAATTTCAACATTTAGATACTTTACCTATTACTTTTAAATTTTCTCATACATAATAACACTAATACATGGCCTACGAAAATGCCAAAAAACCAACTAATACGCGGGCAACGCCGTGTCGGGACAGCTAGTATATATATATATATATATATATATATATATATATATATATATTAAAAATAATAATAATAATAATAATGCACACCAAAAGATATACACAATGTGTGGTAGTGATCACAATGAAAAAAAAAAAAAAGTGGAGGTGTGTATCGTTACACGGTCTTGAAAAAACAGCACGGTTCAGATGGTGGTACCTGTCGGACGTCGTAGCGACCGCTCGCGTCCCTTGTCCAGTGATGAATGGGAGAACGGGGTGTCGCTGCGACGTTGCGTGCCGCGGAGTGGTGGTTGATGAGAGAGATAAGAGCACGGTCGGCGACGGCCGTTTCGGTGAGGCTCGTTTCACACTTATACGGTTCGATTAAGGCTCTATAAGTATGAGTATGTGCATCCGCCATTTTGTGTGCAACAAAACTGATAAATAATAATGATTAACTATGATAGCTATACTGATTACTGAATTACAGTTTCAAAATAGTTAAAACAAATTAAATTTCTACAACTACTTAGCCACTTAGGTATTCACTTATTAGTTATTTAAATATTCAATTAGGTTTGTTAATATGTCCTGTTCTACAGTAAATTGTACTAATCGAATCAGTCAGAGCTATCGATTATGTCGGTTTCTGACAGACCCAAAACGTAGACAAATTTGGGTAATTAATAGTAGACGGGATAAATGGATTCCAACTGATCCAGCACGACTTTGCCATGTAATCAAACACATTAGTTGTTTCATTAATATATTCACCTTGTATACTAAATTGTTACCTGAATAGATTCATTTTGAGGATAATCAGTTTGAACAAAATCGAATAGATGGATTAAAAAAGTTGAAATGGAATGCAATTCCAACTATTTTTGATGTTCCTAACCCTCCAAAAACAATAATGACCTCAAGAAAATCCTTGTATAAAGTAAATTACTTAAAGTATATGTTATTATTAATGTTGAAGTAGATAGATAGTAGATTGATTAATTCAGGGTTGGTCTTATTTTCTGAACTGCTGAACGTGCAATAGTTCAATAGTTCAGCTAATTAGGCATCAGTAGTCCAATTAATTTAATCACAATTTTTTATAGAGACCTGCTACTGATGACAATGTTTCCAGTTAGATTGTAGATACTGTTTCTGCCAATGCAAATTCTTTAGAAAATACAAACAATTCAAATTTAGAATCTGTAAGCACATTTCTGCAATAAAATTAGTTCTTTTTACAGGGTTAGGAACAAAGTATAAAAAAATAGTGAAAAAAGTGACTTTTAATATTAAAAAAGTGATTATAATCTGAAAATAGTGACCAATTATTTTGAAAAATTGGTTAACCAGAAAGTATTGTACTTTAAACTTTGAAGTAATAATATAATATATAAATAGATACCTAGGTAACATCATATAGTTAATTATTTAATTAATATTTTTATAATGTAATAATTAAGTATTAAAGTAAATAAAATATAAAAAATAAAAATCATAAACTTCTATGAACTTAATTTATTTCTGTACTTTGAGCATACATTTATAAAGTAAAACATAAATAATATAACTGTAGAATAAATTTAAATAACAGAGATCTTTTTATAACACTATAACTGACAACCTTTTTTTAAAAATTAACTAAGTAAAATAAATAAAAACATAACTATTGTAAACCTGAATAAAATAACAAAAAAGCAATTTAAATAATAAATATAATAATAAAAAATATTTAACAACATCCGAAAAGAAGAAGAAAAATTAAATTAAATTTAAGCCAATTTATTGTTTTTTATATCATATAATATATTGGTTTTTATTTTATAGATTACAATAATAATTTTTGCTTGTTAAATAAATGAGGCCTTATCTTACTAATAAATACAGTCATCAAGCTCAGCGATGCGCAACTCGGAGGTTGCAAAATGTTATTAGGGGGTCGCCAATAATTTAAATAGAAAATTTATATTATACACTTATATAATGTTGGTAGGAAGAAGTGGTCGTATTATCAAAATAAATAATTTTGGGGGTCGTGGATCAAAAAAGGTTGCATACCACTGATCTAGCTTGTTCACCCAATTTCAGATTCCTGGATAGAGATCACTTAGATTTGAAATAGTTAAGTAAAAGATCCATATTATTTTTTCTAAGACTCAGTTTTTTCATTTCTAATTTTAAATTAGTTATTTCCTGCTCAGCTTTCTGTTTGAAATTATTGCAGTCATGATTGTTTTCCTATAAAAAATTAAACAAAAATTATATTGCATAGAAATCAGATATAAAACATTAAGAAGTTATTATTCCTTGATTAATTAATTTATAATTTATAAACTAAATAAATAAATCAACATTCATTAATCATATTCTACAACTACTATTTGGTATTAATTTGTTAACTGTTGAATATATTTATCGCAATAAACATTAATAAGCTTTGTCAATTTTACATACCTTTTTTTGATCATTGTTCAATGTTGGCGTGGATAATATATTTTCATTAGCAGCAATCATTTTATTTTCTGTAATCTACATTGGATCATCAGATGTAGACAAACAAGCCATAATATATACAATAAAGATCGTTGTACAAATGAATTAGGTACTTAGAACTTTTATGATTTTTAGTTAAGTATTATAAATAGTAGTATTTATAATCAATGGTATTAAGTGAATGGCATTATGCAGAAAGCAACCATCCTATAAATGTTCTATTTGTAGATAATTCAAGATATGAAAAAATATATTTTTTTTTAATTGGTTAAGTAATAACTATTAACTAATAAACTAAGAAAGTATGAAATAACTCGAATAATTATTACATTTATAACATTATTGAATTATAGTTTATACATGTTTAATATTATTCTTATATTATCAAGATATGATAATAGATTATAATCTTACAATCTTTTGCACACAAAATGGCGGATGCACATACCTGCTTCTACAGTGCTCTAGTTCGATTCGGTTCGGTGCGTATTCGATTCGTTTTCGGTAGCGTCTAAAAACGAATGAAAACTCTTCACACACACTCGGTTAGTATAAGGTTTGACTTCACGACCGAATCATCGAATACGTAGTCACTTTGACCACAATGCTCATTATAGAGAAAAGACAGATTGCTGCAATGTTATTTCTCTATAGAAGAATCAAAAAACGAAAGAGGAATAATCGACTTCACTGGGTACACCCTATCCTCACCAAACGGTTGGAATTCGGTGCATTTTATACCCTTTTTCCGAAATTAAGGGAGCACGAAGACAAATTTTCAAATTACTTCAGGATGTCAAGTGAATCACACATTGTCAAATGTAAATTAAAAAATTTTAAATGAGAAAATGAAATAATATTTCCCTTGCCGTAAACGTGACCGAACCGAAATTAAACCGTATGTGTGTAAACGACTAATTGCTTTTGTGAACTCTGGACCCGAATGGAAACCGAACAAAACCAATTCGTGTCGAGGGAGCTTTCGGTTCTATCAGTTATCTATTAGGTATCGAACACACACCGTATTACCGTTTCACACTTTTCCGGCGGCTACCGAAAACGAATCGAATATGCGCCGAACCGAATCGAACCGTATAAGTGTGAAACGAGCCTAACGGCTGCCGCACGGGTCCGCATCAAAATGTTTACAACAGCTATTAGATTACAAACCAAATAATTATTAATTTAACAACGTAGGTAAATAGTCTAAGAAATGTTGGCTTATACTAGTTTTAACTTGAGTGTATAGTGTAAGTGTATCTACTTAATTTATATTTTAGTGTTATTTTATGTTTTAAATGTTAAGCGTTAGGTATTGGGATTTTATGTTTTCTGTTGTTTTATTAAAACTATAAATACTTGTGTACCTATAAGAAATATTTTAATTTTGAGACAAAATATTAGATAAATACAAAATAAAATATTTAAAATTTACTGTGATATTGACTATCACAGCACTAGCTTGTTCTAATTTTGATGGTTTCCGCATACAATATTTAACTGTTTTTTGATTGTCTTCATTGGCAGTCTTCTTTGGAATTTTAATATTTACTGGTTTGAATAGGTAAGGAAGTATTTGAATAGTTGCTAAATCATCATCACCTAAAACAAATTACAGATAAGTATCAACTCCAATTTTATTTTTATTAGTATGGTTATGTTAGCAGTTATGTAAACAACTTGCCTAATTTAGCAGCTGATATAATTTTTTTAATTAAGTTTTGTGCAAACATTTAAATTTAATTGTCTTTTAAAATATGTTTTCACTTATTTTTGAATACATCAAATTTTTGTAAAAGATATTGGTCTTTTGATGGAAATAAGTGAGAAAAATCCGTATCAATCTAAGAAAAATCATTGTGTATATTTCTAATTATTTATTTGAAAAAAAAATTTTATTTTATTATTAAGATTTAAAAAAAATATGTATTTGAAAGCAATAAATTTATTTATTTTTATTTTAATATTAATTAAATATACTGCAATTCAAACATTTTTTAAATCTATTATGGCATAAGGACACCTTTTGTAGTTTGTGTGATTAAACTTACAAATATATGACCTGTTGCCTTTTTTAAAGTTGGATATTTGTGAATAGAATTTTCGTTGATTTGCTTAGTATTTCTATAATGAGCAGTTTCAGCCCATAACTGGTGTAAAATGATTTCTGGTTCTATATTATGCTTTAGCCAATTTATTGAATCTAAAATATCTTTTTAATATAGGTATGCAATAAATATTAATAAATAAGAATTACAAATTAATATTATAATAAATATCTAATTCTAATGTCAATTTCACATTATAAGAATTATATTTTATTAAAAATAATTAATAGATACCTTCTTCATTAATAAAAACTTCATTGTCCTTATTATGTTTTTTATTACTTTGAAAATGTATTTTCTTTATCTCTTTTTTTAAATTACAATAACTGTCAATTTTCCTCTATTAGGACTCACTTTATTACCTTCTTTATAATAAGAGATGAAATAGACATATTTGTTTTCTGAAGGAAAGAATTCTATACCTATTGAGTATGAAAACCCCTTTTTATTTATTATAGTTTTTAACAAACCATATAGGTACTTAGTATAAAACTTATACAATATTTACCTATTACATTATTAAAAATAAGTTGCTTTATAGAGTTATAGTTGTAGAGTTGAAAATAAAATAAATTAAAAAACATCTTAGATACAAAATAATTTTAAATGTTTTTACAGTGCCTATTATATTTTGTTTATAATGATTAATTGTTAATGAAATATATGTCATAACCCACATGCATCATTCTTTAAATGTTAAAATACCTATATTTAATGTTACGAATAACTATCATTTGCAATTTTCGAAAATTGTGTCTTCTCAATTTTATTTGCACCTTTAGTTTGAAAAAGTTCATTTTTTATTAATATTCCACAAAGTCGGTTTCTCATTTTTGAATTCAATAACCCATATGACTTGAAGTGTTATAGTATAAGGAGACCATCTTGGTATTGCTCTTGGTATTGTTTTTTTAATAAAATGATCTATAATTTAATTTATTTTCAGTATCATATAGAATTTTTGAATATTTTGCAAATAACTTTTACTATTACTTGAATTCACATCGATGGTTGGTGGATTATCAACATTAGAAACTTCAGACTCTGCTCTAGTCATTGATAAATTTTCAAAAATGTCTGAAATAAATTTCTTAGGTTGCGGCTTATCTGTATATTATGATATAATTAATATACAATTATGTACGATTTTATTTCTATAAAACCAAGTGTTTATCAAATAAGTGATTGTTAATAAATTATGTTATACCTGAATGATTAGTATCTTTTTGAATAATATTTTAAGTATCAATTGCATTATTTTTAAATGGCTCTGCGGTTACATTGTAATATGATACATCTATATAATATAATTTGATTTTAATTGTGTTATAATATACAAAATATATTTTAAATAGGTACCTACTATAATTTTATTGTCAGTCTGGCTCACCTGGCTATCCAGGGTTTTTTATAGGTACTAATTGTTTTGATAATTAAGGAGCCTAACACCAAATTTAAACATTGAAAATACCACAAAAAATTGGTCCTTTTCTTGACATTAATAAATATTAAATTGAAATTATTCACCTACATACTAATATAATATATTTTGTATTGGTTATTTGCATTAAATTTATACTCTTTTTTTTGTACTCAGTCAAATTCTAAAATTTATATTAATATTCAAAATCAAATGAAAACTGACTGATTTGAACAATTAATATACCTAAGTTTTGTTTAAATTAATACATTTTCAAATTTTTACTGTAACTAGCAAAAGATGTAACCAAGTGATTAAATTAAAATATCACTAATAATGTATTAACTTATGAATTAATTAAGAAAATTGACTAACTATTTTAATTAAATTGTTTCTTTAAGAATATAAACTATTTAATTAATTAATAACATTGGTAAATAGTAATGTAGATAACACAGGCTGTAATTGCAATGATAAATTTCAGAAGTTTTTAAAATATTAATATTAGTTATACTGAACATATTTTCAAGTAGGTATAATTCATTTTAATTTAATAATTTTTTTTATTTTAATTAATTATGTTTGTTGTAGTTCTTTATTATAGTGTATTTAAATAGTGAGCTCAATCACAAGCCAGACCAACACTGACCTAAACTTATGTTAATCTTTTTTTTTAATTACCTTTTTCATCTGTCACAACAGTCATGTTCATCATTGATTCAAATGTCAATAATTTTTCATTTTTTAACTGAACTTCTTAATTAAGTCAAAATACAATTTTGGGGAAACAATTAAAAAAAAAAATTGTTTTGAGTATTGCAAGTAAAAAAAAAAACATTTAATAATTGAGATCAAATTGAATAAATATAATAGGTTTACACTTACTGAACTTAGTATTATTTTTAGTTTTTCCAACTCATTAATAAACTTGGCTGTTTGACCAATTTTGGGAATTAAATTTTTCAACATTATATCAGTTAATATCATCAAAACTGTTTTATTAATTTCTTCCTCTAAAAACATATAATAATACATAGGTATCTCTCCTAAAATGGTTTATTTATCACCAAAAATAAATGTATGATAAATAAAATCGATTTTGAATAAATAAAAATAATAATGTTATAAATATTTATTTATTTAATTAAAACTTGAATTTGAAAAATAGAAAATAACTAAATAAATAGAGATAAAATCTAAAAAAAAAATGCTTTGGGGGATATACTCGTAAAATATACTCTTTAAAGCATATTAATCTAACGTTATCATAAGTTATACCTTCTAATTTTATTGATGATGAAATTTAACTACCTAGGTTTAATACATTTTTTTTTTTAATATTCAATTAATTTATATCAAAATTGATCTTGAGTTTTGAAAAATATTTGTTTGACAAAAATTGTCTTTAAAAAATCGATTCATCATAATTCCGCTAGGTATTTAAATATTTATTTTGGAAAAATAAAGTTACCATTAAAAAAAAAACGCACGTTGCCTACAAATTTCTAAGTGAAACATTAAATTATAATATCATCAAAAGTGATTAAAACATTAGAAGGTCTGAATCAATCAAATAAATGGATATTTTTAATCTATATTCAGTCATTTTTTTTATTTTTATTTTAATTTGCTTTTGTTCGTTCATTACAACAGCATTCTGTCGTAAAATGGCCTTATATTAATTGCGAAGACAACTTACTGAGTATAATGGTTTTATATTTATATATATTTTTTTAAACTGTTTTTTTCTTATTATGTTTTTACTTTACCTTCAAATTTATTCACTAAATGTTGAAATCCAATATCATTTAACCAGTTTTTGGTAAATTCGTCCATATTTAAGTAGGTACATATCTAATATAACAATTATCCAATAAATTATATTAAATCAATTTATTTTTATAGGTAGTAACTTATAATTTATAAATATTAAAAAAAAATTAAATTTTTGTTCAATCAGTTTTATATTCTATTATTATCTGAGACCAAAAAAAATTATTTTTTAATGAGAAATAAGTATTAGAGAAAATTTAAAATATTCAAAATTTCCTTTCACAAAAATATTTTTTATATTATTACCAATCTATATTTAAATTTACATAAAGTTTGGATAAAAAAAAAGTTTTATAGGGCTTTTTTGGAAAATTTTTGGAAAAACTATTGAGAATTTCGAAAATTACATTCATAAAGTACCATATAAGTGCAAATTCTGATTCAAAAAGTTGCTTATGTAAACTCTCAGGCAATCATTTCTATACGAAAAAGTGTTAACAAAAAACATTAATAATAATACCTAAATAAATAAACATCATATATAGTAAAACTATATTTATATTTCGCTCCACTCAGAACCTTAAAGTAATATTTTTTCATGTATGATTTCAACGATAAACACCACATAAATTGTATACTTTACATCTACTTAGTATAAACATTTTAAAATTTAAATTTAACTGCTTTTAAAAAATTGTTTCCTGATTTAAGTAGGTAGGTATCTAAGATATTATAGACCTATACAATTCGGTAATTAATTTATATTTAATAAACTATATAACTATAAGTCGATATTTATTTAAATAATTTGAACAAAACTTGAAAATAACTGTATACTTAAATAATATACTACCACATATTACATACATAAATGACTGACATAAGGGTAATGGTTACCACTATCCATTAGCTGATAATATGTTTTGCAAGAGACAAAATTCTTAAGAATTTTTATTTCATGCCTCGCATGTTGCCTCGTTCCTTATTTTACCTTTGTGTTTGCGACTCGCGCGTGTTTAGTTTTCACCGAATTATATTTCTACAGTTCGACTTATAATATTTTATAGCAATTTGATCTATTGCTATAGTATACAATTATTGGGGCTATAAAATATAGTTTATTTAACGTATGAAAAAAAAATAAACTATAAAATATAGTAATATTCACTATTGAAACCAACTATTTTTATATAGTCTTAATAACTATACTGTTTTAGTCATTCCACCTATAAAATAGTGATTCTTACTACATTTTCCGTAACTATAAAATTTTAGTAATTTTTTTTTTCCGTGTATACTCAGAGCGATAGTTAATTTTTATTTATAAACGCTAGAAAGTCTAAGTGTCACAATAATGAAAGCAGTATATGGAACAAATTTATAAAACAAACACAAAATTGATAAAAAATAAAACATCTTTATAGATTATAGAAAAAATAATACAGTTATATTCAAAAAAGTGTTTTTTTTGCAGATAAGAAAGGATTTTTATAGTAAATAGGTATGCTATCGAAAAATATATAAAATTTAAGATTATTCTACATCAAAAGTGTTCTAAAGAATCGGGGAATGAATGGAAACTCAGTTCCAAGCTGTTTACCACTAAAAAATGCATTTGATAAAATTAACCAAATACAATAAATTTAAGCTATTTACATTTACAGTAAGGAGTCAGCAGTAATTATTCCTATTTTCTATCTTTTTTTTCTGTTTGAACCAATGGCGATGAGAAAACTTCCCAATACCTATCCATATTTCTATCTGTACACATTATTTATTTTTCATAATATTTTTAAATTGAATTATAATAAATAATCATATAATATAACACAATTCCTCCTGTTAAAAAGTATTTATTAACAAGTCATTGTTAAAAAAATTAAAGATATTGAAAAGTAAAAAATAATCATGTAAAAATATTAATAATAACTATTTGAAAACAGAGTGGGCTCGGGCCTACCAAGTCCACCTGCTGGGAACGCCACTGGGTTTCTTCATCGTGTATTTCAACAAATAAATAGTAAACGTTAGAATGTATATAGAACAGAACCGTATAACCGTTTGGGATCAAGTAATTAACATAGGTATTTCAATTTGTGACGAGATCAAATCGTGTTCCTATTTTAATACAGGCTTTACATTATCAAAGGTTATACGTCTTGGACTCGTTTAGCTGTAATTAACATTGTGCTACAATATATAGTTGATGATTTATTGTTATTCTGTTATTGGATTGCATATGTTTCGATTTCCAGGCGATTGGTTAGCGGTGGTCGCGCACACTCAAAAGTATCACGACGCGGAACCACCGATGTCGTGCACGTCGTTCTTCGAAGAATTTAAAACACAATGCTTCTGGGCCATGGCTGTCGGATACGGTGTGTACTTTGGATTTTGCGGGTATTTAGAAGTCAGTATTTCGGATTTTTATGATTTTACGTTTAATCCTTCGGACAACTAGACAGTTGGATTATTTTGCCCAACTGTACGTACACGAGTATAGAAACCGCAGTAGAAACCGTTTACGAAGACAAACATCATCCGTAATATAATTCTCGTGGGCCGCACATCGATCCCGAGGAGGTCGTGTGCAATACGTATTCGGGGGCGGTCGGTACCGCAGATGAATTCTACTGGTCCCTTTGCAGTTTCACCGAAAAACATATTACCAAAGTGTACATGGTCTCAGCACTAGATACAAAATAAATCATTTTCATTGGGCCGCTCAAAATTTTATATTTTACGGCACTTTTCGTCACCGATATTTTGATTACAAAATTATTATCAATAGTTAAATTATACATAGTTATACATAGATAATAAATAATATTCAATAATGTTACATTTTAGCTGTGCTTGGTCATTTTACACAATAAATACATATTTATATTTGTATAGCTTATAGCAGCGGTTCCCAAACTTTTTTTTCTGCGGTGCCTTTTTTTGGACCCAATCAAGCCACGGTGCCCTGGCTGTGAATAACATTAAAGACAAAACAAAAAAAAAATCTATTGATAACCGATTTTATTAGTTTTAATAAAATTTAACTTAGTTATAAATTAATGCACTTTTAAACTTAAAAATAGATAAGTAAAAATTATTGTTATTTCTGATTATAAATATTATACAAAAACATAAGGTTAAAATGAGAATATCCGATTATACAATAGACAATTTTACATTATTTGCTATAAAGGTTTTACGAAAACAATAAGGAAAAATCAATCTTATACATTTTAAATTATTTGTTATGAACGGTAGACCGTGGTGCCCTTAGAAAGTGGTTGTGGTACCCAGTTTGGGAATCGCTGGCTTATAGGATATAGGTACCTAGATTAGTATTTGTTTTTATTATTATTTTTTGGATTTAAATACATTTTACTAAAATATGGAAATAAATTGTACATATACAATATAAAATATAAAATTTTTAAAGGCCCAATGAAAATGATTTATTTTACATCTAGTGTCGAGACTATATACAGTTTGATAATATGCCACCGGGAACGGTTTCTGTTGCTGCTGTACGCGATCCCACTCAGTGTCATAATTGTTGACGTTCGATATTTCACTGACACAGTGGAAGTACTACATCAAGGGTCGCGGCAGGGAAGCCGAGTGGAAGTGCCAGCCGAAACGCCATCTGCCCCGACACCTGGTGTGGGACCAGATCAAATGGGGTTGCATCGGACTAATGGCGACGAACGTGGTGTCCGCGGTGATGGCCACGCACGTCACTTGCGGTGGTTACAGCCAGGTCTATACGCGATTCGGCCAGTACCCGTTGTGGTGGTGGGTAATCCAGTGGCCGGTGATATTCGTCCAGCAGGTCAGTACGTGGGCCCGATGCCGTCACAACAATATTTATCTACGCGTTCCCATGCCCGGAAGCGTAACTCCGGACACTATAGGGTTTAGGGCGGTTGGCGGAGCTAAACCGAAATCATGGATTCTACGCCAGTTTAGCGCTCTGCGCTGATTTGTAGTTCATATAATTTGTAGAACACTTAATAAAATGTACGTATATTTATGCATTTAATGTATCAATATTTACAACGGTTAAAGAATCTATCGAATAAATGATATGTTAATAATAACATGTATCGTACTAGGGCATTTAAGTAGAGATGATGAACAATTTTTGAACAATATAATTATGCCTAAAACAACATTTGACAGTTGAAACAAAAGAGTGCAGCAAGACAAGATATTTAATGCAGACAAACTATGTGGTAGTCCAAACGAATCACTATGGGTTAGACTCGAACACCTCCAACATTGACATTGAACATAAGTATAAAGCTGAAGCAGAACTTCTATAAGACAATTTAAACAAGGTTTTTAAATTAGTATCGACGAACAATGATTATTTGATGATAAACATTTAAATATATGATACGAAAAATCGTAATAATGCTCAACAGCTTTATTGGTAAAATTGGTAAAAAAAATTACAAAAAAAAAATATTAGTGTTCAGCCAACTTCAAAACTTCAATAACACTTCGAAAAACCAGAACTGGACTTACTAATGGATTAAAAATGATACAAGCAAGGACGCCGAATAAACTCGGAAAAAATATAAAGATCATTTAGGAAATTAAAATATACATAAAACAATTAATAACATCAAACGATAAATATTCTCGACATTTTTCCTACTTCCATTTTATTTTAAAATACAGTTGAGCTAATGAATATTTATCCTATGAAAAGAAAAATACTTGGTGAGTTGTAAAGAATTTTATTTTATTTTTTCAATAGAAAAAAAAATAAAAATAAATTAAGGCACTAAAATAAAATTAAATAAACCTATCGGGAAAAATCATGATAAACATAAATACAATTTTATAATTTTAATTTACCTACAAGGTCAAGATCTAGTATACTAGTATACAGTGTTAGGAATAGATAATGCAAAATTTATCTAGATAAAGATGAAAGATAATATGTCAAAATTCATCTAGATAAAGATAAAAAATAATTTCATTTTTATCTAGATAAAAAAAAAGATGTTTTCAAAAAATGTTAATTTTTTGTCAATATTTTATATTCTAATAATATCTAAGAAGACTCAATTATAATAATTATTATCAATAGGTACCTAGGTTTTAATGTTTATTGCAGTAATGTAGTGTACCATTAAGCAGTATTTATATATAATGTACAATATGATAGTTAATCACTAAAATGTTACATAAAAAAAAAAAAAAGAAAGAAAATTGCTTTGTACGTATCAGGATGAATATAGAATACATAAAAAATTATTTTAAGGTAGCAATATTGTTTTCCATATTATATTAATTTGATGATTTTTCATTATTCTATAAGAAGTTACGACTTTACGGGTTCCAAGAGTAAAGTAATGACTATTCAGCGTATGAGTTACATGTATATACTAAAATCAAATACCTACTATATTTAGAACTTCCGTGGAAAAATAAGAAATTAAGTTTAAAAATACCAAAAATATTTTCCCGGCTTGAAAATACAACCAAAATGTCATACCAAGAAATAATTATTACTTATTAATAATACACAAATTATGATTATGAATACAAAATCTATATGTATAAATGACTGAAAGTCAGGTTATTTACAGAATTTATAATTCAAGAACGGCTGGACGGATTTCGATGATCTCTGATTTGTTGAATTCATCTCCGTACAAGAATAAAAATAACTCTAATCTTGGCAAAAATACAGATAATTATCTAGATAAGTAAAAATGTTATCTTAGATAAGTAATTAGATAATTTAGCGCTATTTATCTAGATAAGATAAAAGATGACAAAAAATCTATCTAGATAAGTCCCAACATTGCTAGTATACGATTCATAAAGCTCTCACAATAATAAGAAAAATCATAATCCATTTATTCTTAATTTTACATTTCTTTTTGGAATACCTATATTTATTATATTTATTATACATATATATTAATATTTGAAATAATATGATAAATGCTATTGTTAACATAGAATTTATTTGATAGATACTTTAATTTTTGTAAATATTAATACATTGTATGCATAAATATACGTACATTTTATTAAATGTTTTACAAATTATATAAACTAAAATTCCTAATATGATTCAACGCGGACCGCTAAACCAATCCGGAATCACGCTGCCCGGAAATCACGATTGTCGTTTATCGCACACTCGTGCTAAAGAACTTCCCAACTCATCGTCAGTGGTCCTAATCGTTATATACTAGTGGCGGTTTTGGCAATAATTTTCTGGGGAGGCGACTTATAATTTTACCAAAGTAACCAGTGAGGAACCTTACCCTCCCCCCACACAATCATTCCGCTACTTAAAAAATGTCTATTACTTTAAATATTATACTAAAATAACAATAAATAATCTAATTCAACAAAGACTTTTATATTTCATATTTACTGATTTTTATAGCAAAAATATGCATTTGTACATCATACATCCCAAATATATACTGGAAAAAAATAGAAAATAGTTATAGTACAAACATGTATTTATAAATAAAGTTGAAAAGCATACAAAACAGTCTACAACTTAAGACCTGAGTAGGTATATAGGTAATAATAAAATAAAAAATGCATCACATGTAATCTGTATCTTAAAAAAATCAACGTTATTTTTCAGTTGAAAAATTGTATATATAGTTTTGTTTAATAATAACCAGGGCTCATTACTTCTAGCATTTGCATATTTTTTTTTTGAGAGGTAATTGTTCATATTAGTAATTAATTCGTGTTAATTAATTTTTCTTCTTATATAACGTACAAAATTATTAAATTATTAATTAATTTAATTAATTATTTTTGTATATAATAATATCAGATAAACTATATATACCTATACGGTATCGGTTCACTTCCCCGTCGCCATTTCCCCGTCGAACATTTCCCCGTAAACACTTCCCCGTAAGACATTTCCCCGTCCAATACGATTTCTCGTGCGACATTTCCCCGTCTAATACACTACAATACAATCTTTATATGTATAAAATAACAGGCCTTTTTTATTTACCAATTTTTTGACGACGCTATTTAACTTTTTTCCAATTTTTTTTCACAGAGTTGTTCCAAATACCTTCCTGAGTATCACCACGTCGCCCTATTTTCAAAATTTTGATTTTAAAGGTTTGAAATCGGCAAAAATAAATTTATACATGTAAACTTTTTCATTTTTTGGTGACCTAGGAAATATGTTGATGTGTTTAATAAAGTTAAGTTTAATACATATTTTAACTAGTTAACTAAGCGAAACATGTCGCCCAGTAATTATACTCTGTCGATAGTATTTTGATAGAGTGAAATAAACATGTAATACTATAATCGTACTATGGTATTATACATTGACTATTTTGAGAAAAACATTTTTTGTCGTGCAGTGAAAATTCCATATAAAATGCACTGGTTTAATATGTTGATTTTAATAATTATTGATTGAGATTTATGTAAATTTATGTTAAATTTAATATTAAATAATTTACACTTAAAAAGACATTGCTTCCACAGCGTCTTACAACTAAAAAGAGTTTTTCCGGGCTACGCCGGGTAATATAACTAATAATATAAACATAATAAAATGTTAATCTCAATAAAAAAATAAAAAAAAAAGTAAAAATAATAAAATTTTGTTTAATTATAATAAAAAAAATAGTAACTTACATTTGTAAATTATGAGCAATTCCAATTAAATATTCATTGAGATTACGTCCATGGTAAGAACTTACAATTTTTTTTAATCCGTGTAGTTGTATTGGTATATTTTTTCTTTTTAGCTACCTGTTCTTGTCCTGCTATTAATTGATTGATTTTTATTTCCGTTAACCCTTGTTCTTTTTTTATTATGTCTATTAATCGCCATATTGTTGGATGAGATGCACCTAACAATGACGAAAATGATCTGTGCCAACCTTCAACGGAGTTGTTTGTTTTAGGCAAATCTGCAAGTGTTGCATCGTATTGATTCCACAGTGCTAGACTAAATGTAGGTGGGCGTCGAGTTCTACGCCTATTTGGTCTGCCGATCCATGTATCTTCAAAGTAGTCTGTCAATGGAAACAATAGTTCTTCATTTTCTTCAAAAAAACTTTGGGACATTAACTCGTCAAATTTTTCTTCGACGTCAGATATTGGTATAAATGCTAAGGCCATTAACTGTTTTACATTTAAAGCAAAGTCAGCGTTTGAAATATATTTTTCTCGTACTTCAGGAATACACTGTATTTTTCTCCATATACATTGCCCAAAATGAAAAAAGCAGCCCCTTATTTGAACGTCCTTGAAAACGTCTGCAATAGCGCCAAATAGCGCTTGTTCAAAATCTACCATAATACTTGCTGGCCGTAAGTTTTTTTTCTAAATTTAGAAGTTCTTGTCCAATCTTAGTATAACTATCACGTGTTTTATTTGGCACAAGTGCAAACACTAACGGTAATACTGTATCGTATTTTATTGCATGAATTGTAAGAAGTTGAGTAAAAAGTTGTGGGGATGACTTAAATGTACCATCAATAAACCAATGACACTGATCGGACATTAATATTTTTAAATTTTCTTCAGTTGAAAACAATAATATTTGATTAACATCATCAGAACCACTATCATAGAGGAGGAAGGGTTTATTATTTAATGTGAGTGTATACGGCTCAATAATATTTATTTCTGTTAACATTGACGGATTTACGGGAGGTGCATTTTTACAACGCCTTAGTCTTTGGACAGTTTTCTTCATTGTGGATACTGAAGGTAAAGCGCCAGAAATTGCTTGAGATGATATAGTAGATATAGTATTAGCAACTATTTGATGAGGAGTTGAAGTAACTTGACTGGATGCTG